CTCGGCTAACCCAGGAGATTAGCCCACAACTGAAAAGGTGGAAAGTTGTGGTTAGGATCACATTTGAGACATGCGAGAGGCTGGCAGGTCAGCCTTAGGGTGCAGAAGAGGCCTGTGGCCTTCTGGAGCAGCAGTTGGAGACCAGGTGAGATGCCCTGTTGAAAAGCCGTAGGTACTTCTGTGTAGGCAAATTAATGGGATACTTTATGGATACGTGAAACTAAGTGCTGCTCCTGGGAAATGAAGTCACCTAAATTCCAGAGGCTGTGTTTTGGTGCCTTCATGTGCCCTAGGTGTTTTAAGCTCCCATTGTAGATGGAGATGTTGTCTTGAGACCTGCAGCTGTTCAGTTGATTCATTGATACCTACCTTGACCAACTGAATCACTCTCTAGACTCCCCAAATGAGGCATCTTGTCCTCTCTTCCCTTGTATTGTTTCTGTGTCTGTCTCATCCGTTGGGTGAGCTCTGTGCTCATTTAATGAGTCCCCTTAGCTCGTTAGAGGTATCTGCTGAGCACCAAAGCCAGGGTAAGTGAAGCAGTGGCAGCACGTGGCAGAGCTGAGTTATTAGATGGGCTCAACCTCACCGCAAGCTGTTGGAGTTGGCTTGCTGTTCTGGTTGAGTGGACCAAGAGCAATAAGTGTTTTGTGCCATGGGTTGCATTAGGGGCACATTGTATTGGTATTTAATGGTGATTTACAACCAGTAATGATGTTTCTCTTGAGCAAAAAAGCGTTCCTTTACCCCATCATTGGCGTAGAGGGCAAAATTAATGTTTTGATGACTTTGGCATCACTCAAGAATACTTAAGACCCATTTGTTTTTCAGCTGGTCCTCTGACAAGGAACAGAGGCACTTACAATTCTGGTCACAGCTTCCTTGTACTGTTGTCTGTATTCTCCAAGGTTGAATTGAATTCTTGCCTCTAACCGTGGAAGAAAAAAAGAAAGGAAGAGGAGAAAGTGGAGGTGCCGAGGAAGAAATGCAGAGGAAGATGTACGTAAATGTCATCGACAGCTTGTTTGGCTGATGTTTTTATCTCTTTGGAAATCCTTGGAGCTTCCAGCCTTACGTGCTACTTTTCTGTTCATTAACTTCGGCACCAGGAGTATGTTTGAACAGAAAGCAAATCAGCCCAAATTCTTCGCACTTCCATGTTTTTCAGAGTGCTGTATGGTCCTGTGGGCTCGTAAAACACCAGTACTCCAGACTGTTCTCCCACCTACCAGGGTAGGTTAATGGATCTAGCAGTGGGGACCCGTGTGAAATCTTTTGAGTTCACAGCGAGTATCAAACTCCAGTAGCTGGCCTCATGTTGCGTCTTCTCTGCTGCTGTTATCTGCTTTCCAAAGTTTAATTAGGCTTTCTTTTTGCTTCCTTTGGAAATCCTTCTCTAGGAGGGTGTCCTCTGGAAAATAGCATTTCCAGGCTCACTTTTTCTCAGTCTTAGGTAGGTGTTGGAAAAAAGAGGTAGCCCTGATGCAAATTGGCTATCAAATAGTGTAGAGGGGTAAAAATACAGCGCATAAATAATCCTGCATCATTAGTGAAAGAAAGATGATTCCTGTGTTCGGTCATGTCTTCTCAACCAAGCAGGTCCCAGAAATGCTTCAAATAGTGCTGTGGAAATGCCGTACTGGAAATGTTCTTTAGTACATCAGGAAATAGTCAGTATTAGTATTCCCTATCTGAAAGAGTTGTCTATGAGACATCATTTAAGGCAGGGAGATATTTGCCCCATCTCTGTTGTTTGTGACGCATTATTAGTTTGGCTCCTATCAACGTAAAAGCGGCAATAACTTCCAGCAGAAGAGGAAGGAGCTCTGTTGTGCTGATCTATCTGTAATTCTGTTTGTTAAAGGTATGTGAGAACACTCCTTAAATTTGTTTCTTGTTTTATTTAACTTACTGGAAAAATGTAAATTCTCATTAGTCTGTTGACACTCATTTTTCTTAGGAGTATGCAAAATTCAAGTACCTCTAATGAATCCAGAGGACTCATAAATCAAATGAGGGAATAGAAGCATAAATATGTTTAGTTGTGATTGCACTTACAGATTTAAGGTGAGCTTGTTTCAAAATAGGAAGTTGCCTGAGTCAGCTGGGCCCTGTGTTTTGCACAAAATTATTTTCATGAAATGATTTTTATGTTTCTTCTCTCCTGAAACACTAATCCTTGCACTGATGCAAACCGATTGATGGGATGTAATCATCCTGGCTTGTTAGTCAAACTTTGTATCAGTCACAAGTTGCACTTGAGCTCCAGAAGTATTTTTACTTTGAAAATATACAAGTTGTTACGGAAAAGTCAGTTGGGTTCAATTTGCTTTTGCTTTACGCTTTGCTTAAATGTTTTTGAAAGGAGTTTGCAGTGGTTTCAAAACTTAATGCAGTTTTCACTTTGTAGAGCAGCCTCATTTTCTTTTTTTACCCCAATATTTATGCTCATAAAATAATAAAATAAATTTAAACTCTCAATATATTATTTTTATCTGTTCATATGCCCAGCCATTTTCTTTTTTCTGGAAAGTAGCCAAATTTGTTAGATACTTCCAATGATGTGACGTTTGTAGAAGCTGGGAGCCTTGCATTTCTCCGCTATCTTTTCAGATCAGATAAACCCCAGCTTTACAGTAGTCTCTTAAAATAACATTGTTATCTGCTCTCTTTTGATCTTAATTATTTAACAACACTGTCTTTATGTCTAAGAATCTAGAATAAAACGGCTTGGAAGGACATTGTGGAGGAAGCAGGTACAGTTTGGTGCCTGCAGCAGGCTCAGGGCATCCTTGCAAGAGATGCCCAACATACTCCTACAGCTGCGCTGCTTAGTGCTTTGACACAAATTTAACTTCTTTTTTTTTTTAGGATGTATGAATTTTTCTGCTGTGATTTAAACATGGTTGAAAATCTGAGCCCCTTAAGAAATTTCTACCATGTTTTTCCCTGTATTTGAAACAAACGTTCCCGTTATAACTGCTACTTCTAAGCGAACTTTCTATGTAGCTGAATTAATCCTAGGAATAGATCATATTAGAGTAATTAAGTTTTAAGCAAGCAAACCATTAACAATTATGATACTAAATTGCCTGTGACACGGATTGGTCAAGTTTAATAGCATGAAGTGTTTTCAGCTTGTGGGAAGTAAATTGCAAAAACCAACTTCAGCTTTTTCTTTGTGTATAAGATACAGATTCCTCAGAGCTTTTTGGTATCAGTTTAGAGAGCCCTTCACAGTCTCATAATGTAACATAATTTTATTTGAATTGCACATAAGCATTTTCAGTCTTTGTGGAATCTGTCTTGCTTCAAAATCAGCAGATACTTGTTTCTTCTTTGCCTTCTAGTTGGAGCAAGTTTTGCTTTCTGTCACACCCGCAGGTCCTAATGATCCTCTTCAGAGAACATGCATGGTTCAAATTTCTCTTTCTATAAAAGGATATTTGAATATATGATATGAGCATCATAGGTATTCTTAGACCCTGTTTCTATATGCTGGAAGTACTGCATGCTTGTATTTTAGGCTGTGATATTTTGCTAGGAAAACCCTTTGCCTTGAAGAAATGCCCCCAAAATATAAATCCGTTCTCCCCACCTCAATTACCATCCACCAAATTTTAAAATATGCAATCTTACTTGCTCTCTTTTTTTCTTCCAAATTGCAAAGCTATCGAGAAGCACTTTATATGGAAAAAATCAGCAAGAAACTATGCGTCTTGCAATTCGTAGCCAGTAGTATGGAGAGATCACGAGCATATGGTCTGCAGGTTTCAAGGAAGCTTTCCAACAAAACACAAGTAGTCTGGTGTGTACCCTAAAGGAGGTTTCAACTTAAGAGTGTTTCAGCATGATCATGAGAAAATGATTTTTGGCCGCCATCTGTACCAAGCTGTACTGGGCATTTAAAACAAATGGACTGAAGGAAGGTGTTGGTGGGCATGGGAAATCCAAGCCCTACCTCATTTTACAGAAATTAGGAATTTTTGAAATGTGACAACTGGGAGGGAAGATTGAACAAGGGATTTTCCTTTACCCTAACGCGATTGTAAATGCAGTTTATTGAGGGAAGTGCAAGCAAAGCCTCAAGTGAATTTAATTCACATTCAAAGCTTTTGCAGCGAATGTGCACGCTTCAGTTCAGGCTTGAAATAAGGTCAGATACTTCACGAAAGAGTTAATTTCCTGTTTGGAGGCTGAGATTGATAGTCAGAGGAAATAGGAGGTACCTGGAAAGAACTTCTGATTCCTAATATTGCCGAAGTTGCCGTTCTCTTGGCTTGCCTCGCCTCTGCTTTGTTATTTTTAACCAGGCTCCCTAATCTTTCCTTTTGCCTCTAACCACCTCCCAATTTCCTGTTCACTTCTTCCCTCTGTTTTTTGTCCAAAATATTCAGTTGTTTTTCCACTTTTCTTTGCAGTTTGAGGGGATTGCAGGAAAGTGAGTTAAAATGAATGCCATAGCTGTTTTTACAGTCTCTATCATCTTCTGTATTTCATGCCTTTTTGCTGCTCTCGGTGTAAGTTACTTATTCAAGCAGATTTTGATACAAGAATATGCTTTGAATAGGAGCGTGCATGTTAAACTTGTTAAAGGTGTACTTTGGATTGTAAACGGTAATTAAAAATGTTCTGCTTTAACTCTTGGAAAGTTGTGTGTTCAAATTGTTTTTGAACTAGTTTTCATTTTCTTGTTTTGTTTTGTTTTTCTCCAAGGTGATTAACATATGTTTGTGGGTTTTTTTTTTTTTTCCTGCAGGCTGTTCTCGGAATAGTGCTGGAAGAGAGAGGTTATTTGTTTTAGGCTCTTTCTTTGACTATATGGTTGCAGAAATAATGTGAAGTTGTAATTTACTTTTTTTTTAATAATGCTCAAAAATGTTAATTAACTTAAGTAAAGTCATATTTTATTGTAATCTTTTGATCCCAGCAGTGATGCATTTGTAAATCTAAATTTGTTTTACAGTAAGTAATAGAAAGCATTTGCTTTTCTTTTGCAGATTGCATTCTCACAACACAGCAACTTTATGGACCTGGTACAGTTCTTTGTGACATTTTTCAGGTACTTTTCATTTGAGACAGCTAAATGTGTCTTTCTTTAGAAAAGATCTTTGTTTTTCAATGCAATGATTTGTTGTTTCATTAAAAAAAAAAATTAGATGTCTTGTTTACATGAGAGCCTAGCAAATGCAAATCCCTACTATATTTGAAGTATTTCATTAGGAATTTTATTAAGGAAGCTATCTGCACACCTTTGCAGAGGCATCTTGCCTTGTTCATGCACGGAAGAGTTGGTTAGAGGAAGAGGGGAAAGGTGTTCTGAAATTGGGAAGTTATTTCCAAAATGCTATAGAAGTGATCTGTTACATTACCATGTCAAACTAGTTAAATATCACTGGAGAAATTGCAGATATTCTGGCATAAAGGAAAGTAATTTTGCAAAAAAATTAACCATGGGCTAATTTAAGACTCTATTAGTAGCACCGGTGATTTAAGCTCAACTGCTGAATATACATAAATTTTAAATACAAGTGTTCATTTTGATACAGATGAAGCCAAATACCTTTCTGCTGTTCATGAACTGCTTGGTATGGGTCATTTCTTGGGGTAAAGTAAATTGATGACTCTGAGAGCAGCCCCAACAGAAGCAATTTCAATATTCAGGTTGTTTCCTCTTTCATTCTCCCCCAAAGTCTATCCCTAACGAGAAAATGAAGTCCCCAGAGCGCAGCGGGCATCTCTTTAAGGTTTCATAATCTGATGTGTCAGTCTCTATTCTAGGAGCTGTTAATACTCCACAAATATAAAACAGTATTTGCTCCATAAGGAGAACTCCCACGTGATGATTATGCGTGTATGTTTACTCCAGATCTTACAAGCTGTTTTAAAGCAGGCAATATTATGCCCATTTTAAAACATGCAGTAGATATAATATTTTGGTTGAAGTTCCGTGCTAGATATAATTAAATAAAAGGGCTCCATCTGGGTCTTTTAGACCAGTGTGTTTTTTATAGCATGTCACATGCTTTAAGACAGCTCCAGGTAAGCACCAGGCTTGACTTACCACCTTTCTTGCATTGACAGAGAATAAGTATTTACTCCTGGATCAGCCTTAAGAGGTAGTTTTGTTGAATCAAGCCCAGTCAAGGCCTCATCCTGAATATCTTCATTGCAAGTATAATTAGGGAAGTCATTGGTTCTTTGTCTGCTTTATAATAGCTGGTTTTGTTGAGCTGAGCTCCGCTTGCCACCTGATTAATCAGTTCAGTACTTTCCAGGCCCATATCATTTACATATGACAGTCTGAAACTCTTCAATACCAGCAATTCCTCCCATGATGTTATTATGGCATAACCAGTGTTTCAAGGAAAAGATACGTGTACTATATGCAGCAGTAAGTACCTGCATTTGAAAATGGTCATCAGGAAGTTAGATAAACAGAAGACAGTCACCAGTGGTTGCCTTCCCTCTCCCTGTGTTATCACATGAATCTCCTGGAAAAGTAATAATTGCAACATTGCTTAACATGCCAGAGCAATAAGAACATATCTTTTTTGGAAGAAGTCAGTTTATCTGTGTTTTTGATCAAGCATTTCTAATGCATTAAAAATTCTTTGTTTCTAGATCTGCAAAGTTCCATTCACAGTATTTTATAGTTGCTCTAACATACTCACTGACTGGTATATTAGAGCAGCTGTGTATGGGGACAACTTGTGACCCATCTATTTTTAATGCCCTTGGGTACAATTCATAATTTCATAATTTCAACCTTGTCTCCAAGGTTTGGCTAGGGATAAATAATATCTGATAGCTCCCTGTAACATCAGTGAGATAAGAGCTGGCTGAAAATTTGCGCACAGAGCGGGAGCAGTAAAAAGGTTTCCTGCAAAGCCTTAAAGACCGTTGGAAAGACCACATTTTGAATATAGACCACCTCTATCTCGGATAGGAGAAGCCTATCAATTCTTTGAGTGCAGTGGGCACAAAAATAATCTTATTTTTTTTCCAGAATCTGAATGTTTAGTATGACGTGCCATTCTGCAAGCAGCATTTTTCATAGCTGTCTTTTGTGCTGGCAGCAGGTACATTTTTCCATCTATGGGGCAACCATGTAGGAAAACAGGAGGTTTAAGTTCTCTTCTCGCTTCCTGTGCTGACATTGTGATGATTTAGGTAAAATAAGTCCCTTCAAAGTGCACTGGGATGCAAGTTACACTGCAAAACTCCAGTGCTGTTTCATCAGGCAGTGAGAAGCAGGACAAAATGTGGCTGCTGGGTTTGATTTCTGTTTAATGTAAGAACTGGGGCAGACACAGTATGCCCCACATTTAGAGGAGCTGCAAGACTCTGCAAACTCCTGGAGTCATGGGATTTGTCCCGGTGAGGTGCATGGCTGTGCATTACCATGGGTTTTTTTTGCCGCATGTTAATTTGTTATTTTAAGCTAAGAAAATGTCAGTAAGTAAAGGTTGAGTAAAATGACAAAGTTACAGGATCATTAATATTGCATTATAATTGGAGCGGCAGGAGAAATTATATTCTAACCATTGTTAACCTTTGTAAAGGCATCCCAAGCAAACTGTATTTTTCCATTTCCTCCTCTCAGCTTTTCATAACAGCTCTTTATTTTACAGATCTTGCTGTTTTCTTTCAGCAGATAAAGTTTGAGCTATTTTGACAGTCTCTGGTAAACATTGCTATTAGTGTCTGTGCTTCCCTATCTTCCAAAAATCACTTTATGCCATCACATGTGTCTATAATGTGTTATTTGTCACTGGTGTACCAACTATTTCACATACAGAAGATGCTGTGAAAAATATTTGTGGCTTCTAAGCTGGTATTACTAACCACTAATCCTTTCTCTTCCTTGCAAAGTATGTATCTATATGTCTTCTGAGCTTCTCTATTTTGTTGCCCTGTTCTTTGTAGAGATTCGTGATAGAAATATTAAGGCTGGTTGAAGCAAATCCCCTGACTTGCCTGAAGGGTCAAGGATGAAGGGAAGAAAACTGAGGCCAAAGGGTCCTGCCAAAGAAACTGTTGGGTCCTGCAGGGTGTAGAAGACCTGTAAAGTACATTTGCTGTCTCTAGTGGAGGGGAAGCCATGAGAGGTGGCATGGACCTGATGGCAACCATCCCTTGTTCTCCTTGCGAGACACAAGTGATGTTGGCCAAGCCACCTGAATGAATCCATCTCGATACTTGCGGCTGTGATAGTGTGAGGGGGGAGTTAATCAAAGCACACTGAGATTTGGTGAAATATCTTCCCTTTCCATAAGATCTCATACTGAATTTCTTTATTTTTCTAAAGACCTTGCATGTTTTCTATTGTGCTTCTGCCACGTTTCTTCACCATATCCCATTTCTTGACTCTTGCATCTCTCTCCTTTCATACCTGTCCTTGAAATCTCCTTCTAGGGATATTCAACACTGTCTCTAGTCTCATCATGATCATATGGTGCTTGCTAGATAAATGAGTCTTTTTTTCACAAATGAGAGAAACTGCAAGGGAAGATTTTTTTTTTTTTAAGTTATTTTTCTCCTCTTTTCATCACGGTATTATATGAATTTCTATGGCCTGTCCTAAGGTCTGAATGCACAATTGTGTATTTTATTTTAGTGTGAGTAATTGGGCTTATTCCTCAGGAAGACTTTAGAGGGAGCTGCGATTGTCATTGTACAAGTCAAGCAGATGGTTTAACATGCTGTATGTCAGTCTTTCTAGCCATAAACATTTGCCCAGTGCTTTTAGTTTGAGGGAATGGCTTGTTTCAATAAATCACATCTGGAATTATGTTGTAGATGTTCAATATATTTTTTTTTTTTACTCAATAATTTTTCCTAGAGCAGAAATGCTATTACTAAATATGTGCCTTTAAAATCCAGTCTGAATAGCTTTTTGTTTTTGCCTTGTTTTGTTTTTCTCCCGAGTAAAAGAAAGAGCTTGGAAATATCTGAGCGTGATTTGTAAAAACATGAAGAAAATTAGTAGTTCAACTTTCATGACTTTTTTTTTTCCTGTGTTCTCCTCATGCCTCTTGAGTTAGTCCTCCATAATGATCACATGATGATCAGTGCATAGGGCCATCTGGTCTCTCCTCATTAATTAGTTTCATCATTATCGGTGCCCCTTTACGCTTTCAGCATCTACATTCTCCTGTGTCAGGGTGTGATAAAAACACATGGGGGTTTTGAATCTATTGATGGAGTGGGATTTAATTTACAGTCTGGGCATCTTAGTTTAGGTTTGTATTTGTGTGTTGTGTCTAAGCTGTTGTTTGAATAGAGCTGATGGGCTCCAGAGAGCAGTTTGGTTGCCAAACATCGGTGTCCACTTACAGGGCGGCCAAAAAGCTCTCCAAGCTCTGCTGTGTCCCTAGGAGATGTCCCATGAGATGAATGGAGAAGAACAATCTAGTCCAGAGGCTTGTGGAGAGGAGGAAAACTGAGAACAGCAGGGGTCTACTTGGCCACCACAGGGCTTTGTTACCTGCAGGCCTAGATCTCCTGGGAGATCTAGTAGCACTAGGCTAGGGTACCTTGTTCTCATGTAGAAGGGGAAATTCTTCAAAACGGAGGTCAGGGAGACGTTGTTTTCCGTGCCAGTTTTATCATATATCCAATGTTTTTTGAGGTGTTTTCCTGAGCGCCTAGACTTGCAAGGTATCAGTGGGTAGATGACAGAAAAACATGACGTGCCCCAAATGAGGTGGGTTATGACTTATTAAACCTTGCTACCGTCTTCAGCAAAAAAAAAAGTAAGGCCATTAATCTGCATATCAGGTCTGTCTCTTTGCTGTTGGCTTCAAGTAGCAGTTTGGCAAGTGCCTGCAGTGCAAACCCAGGACCCGCAGCAGTAAGAGAGGTGTCCAACCAGTCTGGTTTTGCCTGGCATCGTTGTACAGGCAGCTGCTTCAGCGTTATGTATTTGTTCCAACTATTTGGAGGTTAAGTGCATTGAGCGGTTAAAAATGTGACCTGTAACTCCCCAGCATATTAAAAGTTGCTTTTGGATACTTAAATAGCTTCCAATTCATCAAAATAATTTGGTATGAATTTCTAGTAATCACTGTAGTGCTCCCTGAAATTATTAAATGACATATATGTTAAGGCATATTAGCATTGAAGCTGCTGTATATTTTGGCATTTAAAACTGTCATTTTTTACTGGCAACTCTAATGTTGATAAACATTGTAGAAGAGTTTAATAATTGGGCCCTAATATGCCAGATGGATTTTCTTCTCTCTATGAGGATGCATCATACCAAGGTGCTGATGGAGTTTTCCATCCATTTAAAAATGCAGCTCTACTTGCTATGAGAATTTATGGATACCTGAAGTGGAAGGAATCCCCTTTCTTCTGCAAAAGAGAGCTTGGAGCTCAGTATAAAGGCAGAGGGGATGTTCACATTCTGATGTCCAGGGACTCCATTCCTGGAATATAAAGAGTGTTGTGGGCTGTATGTATTAATAAATGGCTTTTGCATTTGCTGAGGCCAACTGAGGAGAGATTACTTAACCACGGTGCTCATGATTTTTAGGCTTATGTGATGTAATGAATAGTTAAGAATTAATAAATTATAAAAGCGAGAGGAAAAAAAAAAAAAAAAAGCTAATGTAAATTGTGAATGACACTTAGAGTGCCTGAGCTTGGGAAGATGGAAATCAAATGGGTGATGATGATGGTTCAGGTGTGGTTACCAAAAGTGCTGGCCTTCACTCTTAGGTTTGCTCTTAGGTGGCTTTTGCAGGACGTGCATACAGGCTACGCTGGGAGCAGAAGAACATTTTTCTGCCTTTCACCTTTCTTTTGAGGGGAAAGAAAAAGCAGCTAAAGCATTGAGGTAGGAGCAGGTGTAGAGATAGGACTTAAGTGATGGATTTCAGGGACAAAGGAGACTCTTAGTGGACACACAGTTTTGGAGCAGAAAGAAATAGGAGAAGACAAAACAGGTCCTGCAGCGAGGATTATTTTTAAAGCCATTTTGACATGGTTGTGTATTCCTAGCAGGCAGAAGGGGGCATCTAGGCAGTGTCAGGGCACAGTGCACATCCAGCTAGGACATTGCAGCCAGTAGGCTTTTGCTTTGAAACGTTTTTGGACATGTCCGTCACTGTGAGGAGCTCTTTCCTTCCAGTGCTGCCACATTTATACGGCTGCTTCCTGCAAGGAGAGATGGATTAGAGCTGCTTTAAAATAGGTGACATGAGGAGAGGTCTTAAAACCTATTTCTGGATAGTTTAGGTTGAGTAAACCCAAGAGATGGATCTTGAGAACCCTGGGGCTCTCCCAGTGGATGGTGCATGGCAGCACGTTCAGCCGAAGCGGAACCATTTGATACCTCCCAAAGTGATGCCAACGAGAGGTAGTGTAAGAGGGGAGATGTGTCTCCTTAGTGGCTCTGTAGCTTTCATGAGTATTTGCTGCCTCCTTGTGACAGCACGACATTGTATGATGCCGTTTCTCCAAAGCAGAACGCATCGAGTGTTTTAGAAGGGTTACTTATTGGCCTTTAATTGCTAATTCCTCTCTCTGGTTCCTCCAGAAAGTCTTGGCTGCAGTGTCAGAAGTGAGACAAGAAGCAGTGATGGACTGTGGTGCACAGAGATTTGTCAAACGTATATTTCCAAAAGGGAATTGAGTAAAAACTACATGTTTTGTAATGGTAACCTACAGCAAGATGAAGATCTCCTTCGCTGTACGTTTCCTTGCTCTCCATGCCCCCAAACTTAGCATGACCCATGAACATCAGTTGTCCAGAGAAAACCCTTCTTGGAGGAACAGATAGGATCAGAGGGTCCCTCGAATGGGTCTTCACAGTGTAGCGCAGCCAGGCTGGGGAGACATGTGGCTCTTTACCTCTTC